GCACGAATAACGAGCTTCAGTTTCACGGGTATGTTGCGTTTTCCTTTCTACTGATTTTCACGCGTTCAATTTCGTGGAAAAGTGCAATCTTTGCGCGGTTGTTGTTCGCAGAAAAATCATGGAGAGGGGCTCCTCGGTGCCTTGGCAGGAGACGCTTCAAGAAGCCATCGGTGAGGACAGATTGGACGCGACTGCCCTCAGAGAATACTTCAGGCCCCTCGAAGATTGGCTGAGAACGGAAAACTTGAGGACCGGCGACGTGGTCGGATGGTCTTACGGTAAGAACTCGTTCATATTTGCTTCTTTAATTTCTCCATTCGTCATATTTCCATCATTTCGTAACGTGTAATTTGTAAACGTGTTATGCTCTGGAACGTCGAAGATATAAATCAGATTCTTGCAAGATTTTTTTTCTAACATTTAAATAACTTGCAATTTTCTCTTTCCATATGAGACAGAAGGTAAAATGCTAAAAATCATTGGCTGGAAATTTTTCTTAAACAGATTTTCTAAGTGTCGTCTAAAAAAAACTCTTGATTCTTAGAAATCTCCAATTTTTTTTCCAATTTTATTTTGCAATAATTAAATCCATGTATATTTACGTAATAAATTTATCAACGATTAAATCTGATAAAAAAAGAAAATACATAAGTAGCTATATACTAATAACTGTCAAAAATTGAACTGAAAATAATCATGACAATCCAGAGAACGCGTTACTCGACTCTAGCAACAAATATATTGCATAAGAAGATACAGAAATATGTAGAAACAGTGTTGATATTTTTTACGAAATGATACGAGAGTGAATTATCGAAAATGTCTAATCAAGAACGATCATTAATTTCACACTTTCTTAAATTTATTCAAGACTCGTTCGATTCCGCGTATCCAGGTATACGGATTTTTTTTTTCTATATTCCTTTTATCGATTCTCCTTTTTTTTCTTCCTACGCGTGTATACGACTGGTCAGAAACAAGGAACCGATTCACGCGACAAGCCACGATCGATACACGGGTACGCGCCAGCTACCCGGTTCCTTTCATCGTAACTTGTTACAAATTATGCAATTTCCTACCGTAACAGATTGAAGGTTGCAGTTCCCACGTGCCAGTTACCGTTGGGAGCGCTACAAATATTCATCGTGTGACGACATTCGGCTGAATTACGATCCGTAACGGGGCGAAATTATCGGGATTGGTTGACGTTACATCTTCCAGAGTGTGGAGGCTGTTGCCAAATTGGCGAACGGTGTTGCGTAGAATGGGCTACACTATCGCCCAAAAATTTGCAATCGCCGAATTTCAAAGGATGCTTCACGAAAATTTAAAAAGAAAAAAAAAAGTCGTACTAAAACTTTAATGGCGCGGAAAAATGTATGTAATTATATAATCGTAATCGTTGGTATTTGGTGTAGCGTTAATTTGCTAAAAAAAAAAAAAGAAAGAAAAAATTAATCAAGAAGATTGGAAAAGTGATCTGGAACTTTTTGCCGGTACTGTACGCATATAAACATTAGAGAAATATTAATGGAAAGAAAAAGAATGCACGAGATGGTTTCGTGGTTGATGGGTTATTAATTATCCAGACGATTATCTAACATCGAGAATCGTAACTTTGATTGATCGCTCTTCTTACTGACCACATACTGACCGATTAAATCGTGAAAGCATTTTGTCTGAAACTCCATTAGATCGTCCATCGTTCTCTCGTTTTAAGTGGTTCTCTTAAGATAATAATATAGATTTTCCAACCGTTCTTTGGTCCATTGACGAGTTAAAAAAGTAAACTTAAAATAAAATTTTCTTTATAATCGTTTATTAAAATTATTCGATAATTTCGAACGATGAATTATTGAAGCAACTTTATTTTTAACTTCAACCAAATTTCAAATTTTCCCCGTTCACGAAGAGGGAAAAGATATTTCTGGAATTCGCATGCAGCGGAAAGCGTCACGATTATTTCCGCGTTACGGATCGTAAAGAGGTAGAGTTCAATTATGCCACGGTTAGCGAAGTTCTGGCCCCGTGGGACTGGCGGATTGCGAAATCGGAGTAGAAAGAGAAAAGAAGGCGAGCATGGGCCGTAAGAAGGGACAAGGATGGTTGTCTCGCAGAAAGAGAGAAAGACGTATCGAATCGTGAGACACGTTCGACGATTCTACTCTCGTTTCCATTCCACGTTGCACCTCGAAACCTGTCAATTTGCCTCGCGAACCTACAGGCTAATTCAGAGATACGTGTCATTACTTCGAGAGGTACAAAGTGAATAAAAAGTTTCGTATATATATTACGAAGAAATGGACGCAAAAATGGATTTGAGATTACGAGAAAATACTTTATTTATTTTTGAATACTGAACTCAATACGAAAGAAAGAGACAGAGAGTTTTATTCTTTAAGTGTATTCACATCCTTAAGTAAGTAAATATCGATACATATTTCTGAATCTTCCTGTACATACACGTAACACGATTTCTCGCCACACTTCGTTCCTCCGCTTCTTTCTCGAGATGAATATCGATATTCGATAATGGAAATCAGTCAGATTTTGAAACAGTTATCGATTCATTTCGAAACGGGAGAAAAATCGGAAACCGGCCTCGCCTGACTTGACGGGTTAGGAGGAAAAATGACCCGTTTCCGAGAAGCGATCGCGATGGAAAGCGCGGATGTACGTGACTCCGCGCGCGTTACGAGGAGAAAGAGCACGCGCCGATTGTCGATCACAATTTTCTCTGTCGATCGGCCGTACCTCGATGCCATCGCTCTTTCCTTCCCCGTTGATTCTCGATTTCCTTGGAAAGAAACGACGCCGTAATCGCCCTCTCGATTTCGTACACGCCGCTTTCCACGCCGTATCAAAGGAGAAAGCATTTCGCGCGCCGCTTCTACACCTTTCTATACCGATCTTGTACGCAAGATCTTTTTTTTTATTTTCTTGCCCGTCTACAATTTGCATAACCGTGATCGAAACTGTGACGTAAATTCGCTTAAATTGATTATATATTAGATCCTGGTGGGGCGGTCGGTTAATTGGAGCGCGAAATCGATTCGAATCGTCAGATAAATTAGCTTAATTAACGAAAATGGTTAAGCAGATGTATATATATATATATATATATATATACGCGTGAGATCGTGGGATGAGAATCGATGAC